TTTTTTTTTTTTTTTTTAACTTTTAAAGTCTAAATATAAATATAATCGAAGCTGAAGTTGAAGAAAAAATATAAAATATTAGTGTAAAAGAAAATTTTAAAATAAAAAACATTTATAATTTAAAATTAAAAAATATTATATAATAGTAAAAATAAAAACACCTAAATTACAAAAAAAAACAAAATGTTTAACAAAATAATAAATCTAATTATCTCAAAAAATTAATCCTTAACTTTCAAGTTAGAGATACATTAATTTAAAAAAAAAGCTTTAATACTCTTTAATAACTCCACTAATAATAGAAGAAAAGCTAAATTAATACCGTAGTCTAGTAATTTTTATTATTTTTAGTTTTTAAACAAAGTAATAGTTTGGTCTTTTAGTATTTTAATTTAATATTTTATCTTTTTAAGATTCAATTTATTTATTTTTATTTCTTAATTTTAGTGGTCATAAAAATCATCATAATTACGAAAAAACACTATTTTATCTATAAAGAAACTTATCAAAATTGACAATAATAATAAAAAAAGAAAACTTTTACTTTAATAATAAAAATAATAAAACTTATACATATGGTTGTGTGGAGCATTTTTGTACGTAACGTGCTTAAAAAAAAAAACGAAAGGGGAGAAAGAAAAGAGTGACATGATTCAAGTTGACAACTTTTAGCTGTATTTCTCAGATAACGTTGGATCTCATTTCTTATTTTGTTTGTTTGATTTTATTGTATTTGAGAGTTCAGAATTCATGGACGCTTTGAGGAAACAAGCTACCAAGTTCAGAGAGCAAGTTGCCAAACAACAACAGGTTTCGTTTCGCTTCCCTTCAAGTTCCTCTTTTTCTCCCTTGTCACTCCAACTGCCTTAATATTCTCCTAAAATTCGCATCTGGGTAGCCCGAATTTTCAGAATTTCGCAATCAGTTTTGAACGATCGGCCACCTGATTCGGCCTTTCAGCGACCGATAAGAAGGTGGCTAAACATCCCTACCCGTACAAAAGGATTAATTAAAAGAATTTTATGATAGTGGTTTTGTAAAGTAAAAACAGGTTAAAAAAGTTTTAAAACAACACTCGTTTATAATAAGCGTTGTCTGATTATATTTTATAATAGTTTTTAATATGCTATTAAAGATAGACCCATTTAATAGAAAAATACAATATATATATATATATATATATATATATATTTTTTTTACAACAAACAAAAGTACTCATTAAAGATGTTATTTAAATGCTATTAAAGAATTCTTTTGTTTGTAGTAGTGATTAGAAGAAGATAGTTATTACTATAACCTAATGATATCAAATGGCTACATTAGAAGGAGTATCGGTTAACGTGTCTTTGTAATGCCCAAATTTGCATCCCTGCAAAATGCAACTCTACATTAAAGTCGGAAATAGCATGTTTGAGTGAGAGAAATGGAACCAAACTACTTGGTTAGCGCGTTGTTGCAGTGCCCTAATTTGCATCCATATGCAAATGCAACTCTATTACGTTCGAGTAAGATAAATGGTAACAGGAAAAAAAGTAAATAGGAATAATGAAAACAAAGTGTGGGTTAACGCGTCGAAATTCGCTTCCTGCAAAATGCAAGTGTACATTAAAGTGGGTTCACATCAGTGATCAGAAGAAATGAATGAGGTGGGGGTGTGGAATTGGTAATGGAGCCATTCCATTGAATCTCACATTATATCCGCGTCCATTTAATGCACCTAACCAAGACTCCCAACTGTAAAACCCTAAAAGCTACTGCTATATATACTTGTACTTATGTCACACCCTCCACATTCATTCACTCACTCTCCCACTCTTCACACAAGCCACCCTTTGTTGCTCCAATGGCACCTATAGATCTCACAACCATGTTGTTGCCACTCTTTGTTGTGGTTCTTGCCTTGTGGAATGGTGTTCATGCTGCACCACAAGTTCCATGCTATTTCATTTTTGGTGATTCTTTGGTTGATAATGGTAACAACAACCAGCTTCAGTCTTTGGCCAGAGCTGACTACCTTCCTTATGGGATTGACTTTCCTAGTGGACCTTCTGGAAGGTTTTCCAATGGCAAAACCACTGTTGATGCAATTGGTGAGCTTCCACTTTCATAATTAACTTATAAATTAAATGAGTAATATACCAGCAATTGTGTTGAAATATATATACTTGCTTGCATGGTCTTAAACTAGATTCACATGCATGCATGCACTTATAATAATCATTATTGTCAAAATCACAGTGATAAATGACATCAAAATGGTCCTATATGTTCTCAGCCTTTACCAACTTTTGGGTTTGTAGATAGTTTGACATATATTAACTAATATTCTTGTATTTTTGTTCTTCTATTTTTGATCTAACTGTAACTAAAAGCATCTTAAATGTATGCATGTATTTTTTTTTTATCCATGTAAATCAAAATTGGTATGATTTACACTCTGCATAAAGCCATAAACAACTGAGCCAACTGAACTAGGCATCCTTTGTTATGTGCATGTATTGTATTGTGCTAAAACCAGACACTAAATGTTCACCACCTAGAAGGGAAGGGTATATTTAAGATGCATGAGTATTTTACTAGTGAAAATAAAAATTAAAAATGGGGTAACATGCAAATGTCAGTGAAGAAAACAGTACTAGAACACTGCCTTTGACACTACTCTTGAGTTGGTTACCCCTCATAAGGTTTGTGACTGACTCTTAAATTCCACGCACATGGGTCCGTTTGCCCGCATTCAATACGCAATTTAAGACGAAGAGTGTGGTGTAGTTCATTGAAAAAGAGGTAAAATAATAGAAGTACAAATAAAGAAAGAAAGTGCACCTTTCAGGTAAAATATTTTTACTGCCAGATCGTTGCTTACCAGAACTACTGATTTAGTAAAAACAAACAGGAGCAAAAGAAAAGTAGATCTGGCACATAAAATGATTATTGTAAACATATTCAAAGGTTTCATTATTGTTTAACTTTCTGTTGAAATTTAACAGCTGAACTTTTGGGATTCGATGATTTCATTCCTCCATATGTTGATGCCAGTGGAGATGATATACTCAAAGGAGTCAATTATGCATCTGCTGCTGCTGGAATTAGAGAAGAAACTGGCCGGCAACTGGTATATACCCGTGTATAGTTTCATTTTGCTTCATGCAACATCACTTTTTTTTTTTTAATCCTCATTTGTAGGTAAGTAATTATGTCGAGATGTTCATATGTTTTGTAGGGAGCGCGCATTAGTTTTAGTGGGCAGGTGCAAAATTACCAAAGCACAGTGTCCCAAGTGGTAAATTTACTAGGGAATGAGGACTCAGCTGCAAATTACTTGAGCAAGTGCATTTATTCAATTGGGTTGGGTAGCAATGACTACCTCAACAACTATTTCATGCCTCAATTCTATACCAGCAGCAGGCAGTACACACCTGATCAGTATGCTGATGTTCTCATTGAAGCATACACTGATCAAATAAAAGTTAGTCTCTACCTTTCTGTCTTTTACTACATTTTCATCATCTTTAATTGTTCTATGTGCTTCAAATAAGCATTTCAATTTCAAATTATAAAATCAAGTCTCTAACTCTGGTTGTAAGCCACCTCTAGGACATGGCAGGTGGATAGCAAAAGTTACATGAGTACAGATTAGTTCTTGATGTCAATTTTAGAAAATAAAAAATTATATTTAACCAAGTGTTTTTTCTTCAAATTCTAAGTTTAGGGATGATATTGAAAAATAAAAAATTGACTGTTTGTGTTTGTGATTTAGACTTTGTATAACTATGGAGCAAGGAAAATGGTGCTGTTTGGAATTGGTCAAATAGGTTGCAGCCCAAATGAATTGGCCCGAAACAGCCCTGATGGCAAAACATGTGTGGATAGAATCAACGCTGCAAATCAAATATTTAACAGCAAATTGAAAACTCTCACTGATCAATTCAACAACCAAATGCCTGATGCAAGAGTCATCTACATAAACTCTTATGGTATCTTTCAAGACATTATAAGCAACCCAGCAGCCTATGGTAATTAATTATTTTCTAACCAAAGCATTTCATAGTCATGATTTTTGTCACATCTTTTAGCTAGCATCAAGTAATAATCTCGTTGACCATTAATGAATCTTCAGGTTTCAGTGTTACAAATGCTGGTTGCTGTGGAGTAGGAAGAAACAATGGTCAAATAACATGTCTTCCAATGCAAACTCCATGCGAAAACAGAAGAGAGTACTTGTTTTGGGATGCATTTCATCCTACTGAGGCTGGCAACCTTGTTGTGGCACAGAGGGCCTACAGTGCTCAATCTGCATCGGATGCTTACCCTTTTGATATCCGCACCTTAGCTCAGATCTGATCTATGAACATGGTCTAGTGGGGTAGTAGTGGCTATAAGCTGTGCCACAAACAACCACAATTAATGTTCTTGGAATGTGTTGTTTCTTTTAAGACATAAGAGTCTTGAGGTTTCTATCTTTTTCTTGCATATCATATATGCTAAATGTTGCATGGCTTCCCAAGTACAGGTGTAATTTGTGGTAAAGTTTTGGAAGATTGCTTATTTATAGTGAATAATTAATGTGTTGTTCGTTCGTCGATGCTCCTTTATGAATGTTTATACCCAAATGATTCAGAAACGTTCACAATAATCTGTTTGCTTCAACATTTCTGGATTAAAAAAATTAAATACGAATATATTTGATTGATGATAAAAATAAAATATACTTCTGGTGATAAAAAAAAAAAGACATTCAAGTCAAATTGGGAAGGGTTTCATATATTTTACGGCTATCGTTAAATGAATTTAAAGTTAAAAAATATAAATTAACCGAGTAGAAAGTTTATGTTACTTTAACAAAAAAAGAAAAAAATGGAAGTCAGGGCATCAAGAACAAGAAAATAAATAATTTTTTAAAACATGTACATTATAATTAGTGTGTGTTTTATATTCCAGAAATAATTAATATTTTATAAATAACATATTAAATAACAAATACATAGTATAAAAAAATAACATTCATTTGCTTCAAATAATACAATGCACATTTTAATTAGTGTATTAGTTATAAATGTAATTACATTGTCATTGAATTTTGAACAAGCAGTGATGGATCACTTTAATAAGCCCAATAATTTTATTAAAACAAGTGGACCTATACAATCAATATAAAATGCGCATAAAATCAGGCCCAGTACATTTTACTCTGATAGACTTTGTGAGACCTGTTCCCAACGTGATAAGTTTTTGAATTACATATAATTTTTGGTGGGTATCTATTAAGTTCAAACTTTACCTTTTTTATTGGTAAGGAATATTACAGATGACAATAAGGTTGTAGCAAACTTATGATTGCGAAAATCTACCTGAGTGGTCTGTGAAATTCTTACAAAATTTTTGTAAGGAATATATATTATTCTATGCTTAATATAACTGCTTTCCTTTGACTTCTTTTGAGCAAAACAGAATTTAGATATTTTTTTTGGTTCCGAAACAGAATTTAGACTGAATGCTTTATTACTGTTTTCTTTTAATTTTTTTTTATCGTCACTGTTATTTTTTTTTAAATTTAAATGATGTTATACATAGATATTCTTTTAATAATAAAAATGTATTATAGAATTTGAAATAAATATTTATGTGCAGAATTTAACTGCAGAATTTATTACTGTGAAAAACAGAATTTAGATTGAATGATTTATTACTGTTATTTTTATTTATTTATTTATTTATTATCCTTATACTGTTATTTATACATTATAGAATTTTAAATAAATATTTATGTGTATCCTGCAGAATTTAATATTTTAAAATAATATCTAATATATTTAATATATGAATAACAAATAGATCAATTTATTTGATTTAATAAAACAAATTAATTAGGTTGGTGAAATATGACTTTCTTTGGTTCTTATATGAGAGAAGAAGAAAAAACTGGAGAATATGCAGTTATTTTATATCCTTATAAATGACAATAGAGAAAATAAAAATTTAACATAAAAATAGTAAAAAAGACATTAAAAAAAAATTCTGCTCCCTTTCCCTCCCCTTCCCATGGACTCATAAGAATTTTCATTTAAATTTGTCCAAATTGAAAACATGATATCATGAAATAATTACACTCTTGTGGCATATCGAGCTTCCAGTTAAACGTTGTAGGCTCCAGTCATTTTTTTTCTAAAAGTGTGTGGATGCAATGGAGTCTCTAAAATAAATACATGACTTTGCCATTATGCATCGTAGATAAATAATTTCAACGACATCCTCCACAAAACAGGGTCATATCTCCCTATATTTGATCACCCTTGGGTTTGCGAATATCTTGAATCCGAACTTTGGCCTTTGGTATTGTGACATGGGTTATGAAACCAAGTTATGGTTAGTGGTGGTTTTTTTGTTAAGTGCAACATACATGCAATGTTTTTGTGTTGTTGGGGTGCCCGAAGTACCTTGTCTTTTCATTTTCGGAGACTCTTTGTCTGATCCTGGAAACAACAACAAACTAGCTACAGAGTCCAAAGTTAATTTTTTGCCTTATGGGATAGATTTTCCAGATGGCCCCACCGGAAGATTTAACAACGGTCGTACTTCAGTCGACATACTCAGTAATATTTCAATTCCCTCACATTTCATCTATGCTTACAATTTTGCATGCACATATTTAGTGCAATTTTCCTTCCAACAACGTTATACGCATCAGATAAGTCTTCTTTAACATATGAAGACTCAAATACGACACGGAAACACAACACTAACACATATATGAAAATACTGCAAAATAAAAGATACACACAATATATGTATAATATATATAATATAAATGACATGGCAAAAAAAAATTATATATTAATATAAAAAACTTTGATTCTGTTACGTAAAAATTAAGTAAAAAGAGACATCAAAGTGATTCCTTTCTTGTTTATGTTTTTATCGAGATGTTTTCCTTTTCTTTTTAAATTTTTGAGTCCTTCCTCCTTGTTTATTTTTTTATTGAGACTTTTTCTTTCTTTCTTTCTTTCTTTTTAAAATAAAAACCTCTCAAATCTGCATGTTGAAAAGTTGCCCACAAGCATTGGAACGTGTATCGAGATGTTCGATTGTGCTCATATTTGCATGTCTGTGATCGAACATGTTCGTTTTGTAGGTATCCACAACTGAGATTGTTTGTTTCGTAGGTGCCGCAACTAAATCCCATCAAATTTGTGCGAACACAATCTGCCACCGTGTCCTCCAGAACAATGTCGAATTTTGGGACATGACAATCCCATGTTGTGTCCACACATCATATACTTGATAATTTAATGTTGCTATTAGTTGATTACTAACATAATACATTATATCACGCTATCATTTATGTCACATACTAATGAAATATATTAACAATCAACATATCATATAAGTAATTAACATGTCACATCAATGATAAAATCAATATTTCAAACAACCAACTAATGAAGAAATAAAACAGAAAATTTTTAAAGTTTGATGCTAAAATGTACATTTTTACAATTGAATGTCAAAATTTACAAAATTATGAAATATGAGTAATAAGAGGCACAATTGAGCCTAATATTGTTCCACTGATTAAACAAAGAAATGAAAATATTGTTATTGCAGCCCAGACATTGGGATTTGAGAAATTCATCCCACCCTTTGCAAATACAAGTGGTTCAGACATATTACAAGGCGTGAATTATGCCTCCGGTTCTGCGGGTATTCTTAAGGACAGCGGGCAACATATGGTATAAGTAAAACATAATTGCCTTTGTGATGTGCCATTTGTTTCATGCATGCATTAAATCAAAATACATTACTTAACTTTAGCCTATCTTATATGACCCAAAACCTAACCTATAAATTTTTACAATTAATTTGGAATTGCATTGCAGGGTGTGCACGTGAGCTTCGGATCGCAGATACATAATCATAAAGCCATACTTTCAGAAATCACTAAGAAACTTGGAGGTCCTGACCAAGCCCAGCAACACCTAAACAAGTGTTTATATTATGTGAACATAGGCAACAACGATTACTTGAACAACTACTTCATGCCGGAGCATTACCCATCAAGCTCAAAATATTCTCCTGACAAGTATGCTAGTGTCCTTATCCAAGAATATGCAACGCATTTAAAGGTATATATTTAACCACAAATTCTACAAAACTAATACAGATTTATTGTGTTTTCTTCTATAATCATGTTATTCGTATTTATCGATTATTAATCTCTTATGAAAAATCTAGATGGTGAATATTAACGTAGTTTCTGCTATCAACCATGTTTATTTTATACATAAATTTTGGACTCAAAAACCTTTTGTTTAAAGAAACGTGGTTTAATATCATTAACGAGTTGTTAGATTTATATATAGTACGATGCACCAAAAATGGTGTACTTTTGTGCAGGAATTGCATGCAGTTGGAGCAAGGAAGTTTTCTTTGTTTGGTTTAGGCACAATAGGATGCGTTCCACAAGAAATTTTGACTCATGGGAAAGAAGGGTCACCATTATGCATTGAAGAGGAAACTAGCGCAGCATTTATTTTTAATCAGAAGCTTATTGACCTAGTTGATCGTTTCAATGACGAATTACCTGATTCCAAATTCATCAGCGTTAACGCTAAGGTCACAATCACAAAGGATCTCAAGTCCCTTCCGTCACCAGGTAACATTTTTCTTTTCTTTTTATAGCCAAATTATAATACAAACACTCAATTCATCTTTTAAAAGATATACCTGCCAGCATCAGTATGCTGTATGTGTATGCTATGGCCAAAAGGATGCATGCATGTATTCAATTATGTTAATGCAAGTAAAAAGAGATTAAATATTAAGTTTGGTTGGTGGTGTGGTGTAGGGGTATTTGATAGTGTATGCTGCAAAGTGGGGCCACTAGGGCTGTGTGACCCTAAAAAGGAGGCAGAGACATGCAGGAACAGAAAAGAGTACCTATTTTTTGATGCAATTCATCCAACTGAGATGGTCAACGAAGTCGGTGCAAAAAATGCTTATAATTCTCCCTATCCAAACTACGCGCACCCAATGGATATCAGTCATCTTGTTAAGTTATAAACAAGACTTCCACACCTATTCATTTACAGCTGAATTAAACACGTTTCAAATATTTGCTCAAACTTGTAATCAATAAATTTTGACATGTAGAGTGTAGACACATTTTGTGTCATCATCATTTTTTTTTCATCTAAATCAATTTCGTCAATTTTACTTTTTTTTTTTTAAATTTATAAATGTACATTATTATTTTTAGTTATGATAATTAATTTAATTATAACCGATTAAATTAATTAATTATTAGTTTCTTAATAAAATTTGATTTTCTACATTCTTAATTTTGTTTTATATATTATGGGTCAAAGACTAATTTGCTTATTATATTGAATTTGACACTAATCTAACAAATTTTCGCATATGTCAGAAATCAAACATGAGTTATCTACAATACAATTTCCACATTGTGTGAATAGAGAATGTTAACTACTACACTAATTCATCGGATTACATCACAAGCCTTCTTTATTTCACCTTAGTATGTTAAGGCAAATGTGAAAATTTTCACATTTGCACAATGCTCTGGCTTAAAACCCTATATTATGATGAACTGATCAAGTAAAAGGTTTGTGCAACAATAAACTCTAGGAAAACATTAGAGGAGGGTTTTAAAAGAATATTGCAGATTAGGGTTGCACTACAAATGAATTTTTTTGCAAGTTAACCAGCTTATTTGAGCAGAGTGGCAGAAAACAGTTTATCACTGTTTTATGGCTTCTCAACTTGGCCAACAGCCCAACAGCGTTTTAGTTTATTGTATTCCTATTTACAAGGTTTGAATATAAGCATATGAAGCTTAGAACACTTGTGTTAGAGAAGTGGTTTCTGCTGTGTCAGAAAGTGGCTTGTCAGGCACTGAATCTGAGTAGGATGATCACAGTAACCTTTCTCAACTCGCTTCTTTATCATGTGACACTTCTAACGGGTTTTAATCACTGTTCTTGCCCTGTTTGTCTATTTTCAGCTTCTATAAACGTTTACAAAGATACTTATAGATTTTCTATATCAACATTTTAACATCGATAGTGGAAATTGAAACATGTCCTCTTGAGATGAGTTTGTTCTTTACCAACTAAATCAAACTTTGTTGGTAATGCTCTACTTTTTTCATTTTGCATCACTACGACCTTTATATATATATATATATATAATTATAAAAGAATGATTTATTTATTTTGAAAGTAAGTCTATCAAAATTTCTTTTATTTAATAATTTATGTTCTATGTTAAATTTTAATAATCTAATCATTAATTTAAAAATTTTTAATACATAGATCAAATTTATAATTTTTTTAAAAATTTAAAAATTATTTGATATTTCGTTTTAATAATTAAAATCAAAGTATAAAATAATTTTATAATTATCCATCAATTTAAATTAATAAAACAAAATATTAAATAATTTTGAATTTTTTTAAAAAATTTACAAATTTGATCTATGTATTAAAAATTTTAAATTAAACAGTTAAATTGTTAAAATTTGATGTAAGATATAAGTTATTGAGTAGAATAATTTTAACTAGACTTACTTCTAAAGATAGATTTATTCTTTAAGTAAATAGTTCCCTCTTTATATATATATATATATATACATATATATATATATATATAAATTCTTTAATTGTTTTTCCCAACTTTTAATGTAATAAACATGATTGTTTAGCAATCGGATACACAATACATATTTTACTATTATTTTAGATATTTAGGTGCCTTTTTTTTCAGTTTGATTTTCTCACTTTGTTAATGCTTTTGTCCTTGCTGGTCATGTGTGCTTCAAGCATTTTATTCCACTAGTCATGATTCTTTTCCTGGGAACAATTTTTACCGACAAGAAAAATTATGACCGTAGATCACAACATTCCTTTCAAGCTTCCACATAGAGTTGAGTATGTAGCTGCTGAAGCAAGAAATTGTTCCATATATAAAGAGTGCAATTTTCAGTAAGAATAACATGCGTTTGCATATGCTTTACAATCGTGGGAAGTACCTTAGGGCAGTGAGGAGTGTAGTTATATAATTAATCATACTCAAGAACAGTTGCATGTATAACAGTATACGTAAGACCTTGAATTCATAGTAAGTGAAATGTGAAATAGACAAATATAGAAGCCTATATATATGTATGTTACAGGAGAAATATGCATTTAAAGTAAACAGAAGACAAAATATGCCATGGTGCAATCTCCATACTCAAGAGTATCAGTATACATACTAAACAGACCATAGAACCTTTCACAATAGATGCAGGTTAGCTTATTAATTAAGTCTACAAAGCCACAACATAGGACTGAGGGAAATACTTAATGAATTGATTCCCTCTCTTGGGTTCTGCATATTTCCTTGGGTTTAGCATTCCTATATATCACACTAGATGTCAAAATACAAACAATAGAAAATCTAAGTCTTTACCCTTCTCAAGCTTAAAATCTTCAACTGCATGCACAAGAGTACAAGATAAAAGAACAATAATTAGATTTTATGTTTGCTCATAAATTCCAAATATAAAGTGAGACAAGTCTCCATGGTTAAAATATATCAAGTTATAGAATGAATGTGAAGGGTAGGTAGTAAGGGAGAAGTTTACACAAACTGAAGGGACATCTGATCTTGGCCAGCATACTGATTGTTATTGGGCTGTAATCCAGTGACTTGGAAGAAGCCACGAGAGTCAAACTGAGATTGCATCGATTCGTAGCTTGTGCTTCCAGACAACACGTTCACATTCCTCTCACTTTCTGCTATCTGCATCATTCAAACAAAATAAAAATATAATTGATGATGAAACTACGGTACAAACGTCGCACATATAAAGAAAGAGTGAACATTAACGATGGATCACCTTTGCTCTAAGAAGCTGGTTGTTATTGTGCAAGTCTATCTCCTGTAATGTAAATTTTAGTAACTATATAGCCATTCCAGAAGATGTACAATTTTGAAACACAGAAAATTCATATAAATTTTTAAATTGCTATTTTATTTCAATTTCGATTTTCATTATATATCCTTTTTATATGAAATTTCTTCAATTTAAAATCGAGATGTATGTGTATATTTTTCTCTACTTTAGTGTATTGTTATAAATTTTGAATTGATAAAATTAATTAGTAATCATTTCACACTCAATTCAATTCTTAATTAATTGATTTGGTAATAGATAATTAGTAATAATGTTATTTATTACATCTCAAGGCAATTTTACTGGGGCAGTATCCCTTGAACCAGTAGTTTCACTTGAAGGTCATCATGCATCACTTTTAGGCATATCATCTACTATATAGGGTATATTTGAGAGTTGAGTTTTGGGAAAAAAAAAAAAAAAGAGAGAGAGAGAGAGAGAATACAATTTCTCATTTAATTATTTTCTAAGTTGATATTTTTAAAAATGAAAAAAAATGATAATATTCTTTCAATAATAATATAATTACATAAGGAAAATGACTGGTGACTGAAATTTTGCGAAAGACTTGAGCCTGTTTGTTTTGTATATTTGAAAGCTGTAAATGGATGTAAATGTGCATTAATTGAAATGTGAAGTTTCGTTCAATTAACTTTAAAACAAACAAACACTTAAAAGAGATTATGGATTGGATATAAAATGTTTTTTTATACATTATAGAATGTTGGTTTTAGAAATTCTTAAAAATCAATAATCTAATAGAAGCTTATCCTATATACCTCAAAATTTAGTTTATTTAAATCTTACGGATAAAAACAACACTACAACAGTAGTCAAAGATCACAGATTATACATCTGAACTAGTTAAAATAATATAATCACAATACTATTATATAATATATTTTATATAAATGATTAATCTAAGAGTTAATTACCTATACACTGTTAGTGTAAAGTTTTTGTATACTGACAACCAATCAGATTTGTTAATAGTACCATATCATTTACTCATTTAATTGAATTAAAATAAAAAAAAAGGCACTATTAACAAATCTGTTTGGTTGTTAGTGTAAAAAAATTTTACACTGACAGTATATAAGTGATTAACTTTTAATCTAATTGACACAAAATATTCTTACATGAATATGTAAAATTCACTGCCTATTTTCCATAGATAGAGGGTTAGTTTTGGAAACCGACAAACAAACAGAACGAACAACAATTGTAGGGACCTAATACAGATATATTTGTGAAATCCTAATAGAGGCTACTGGGCTAAACCTATAAATAATCAGACACTCAATTAAATTGTTATGTCATATGTGGACCCAATTAGAACAAAATCACAAACTAAGCAATATATTATTTACCTTTCAAAATCAATGACACAACAACACAACCAGTTAAGTTCTACATGCTGGCTAAGACAACATGAATGCGAAAAATTGACCATAGAAATTAAAAGATGAATATAAGAAAAACATTTACCCTCTTCTGCATGTACTCAATTTCTGCAAATAGCAGCTCATTCTGATGTAGGTGTTTTGGAAGTAGCACAAACATAGGAAGAAGGACAAAATTAGATCAACACAGTAATAAGCTAATTAATATATCATATCATTTATTATTTCAAGAATTATAGAAAGAAACTTCTAGTTACAAGAAATACCTTCTTGGAACGAATTCTGCTAATTCCTTTTTCTAATTTAGTCTCAAGGTTTTTGAGATCCTTAGTATTCATAGTGCTCAAAGCCTCACCCATCATTTGCCTACAATTCAAAACATTTTTAGCAAAGATTGGAATAATATGCTAATTGCAAAAAAAATAAAAAAAATAAAAAAAGAAAGAAAGATTGATTGAAATTTTTTATTTTTCAATTATTATTATTGTTATTTCTTGTCCTAATTATAATACATGAAAGGATAATTGAACTTGCCTATTGTGATTCTGCAGATTGCTGATTTGCACACGCAGTTTGGCAGCTTCTTGCTGGTAAAACTGAGATTATATATTCAATCACGGTTAAAAAGGTTAGTTTATTCAATGCGATGACATTGAATTTCATTTTCTACAAGATATTTAATGTTTCTATTATTGTTTGATGTTTAATTATTTTCAAATAAAGATGGTCAAGTTGATGGATTCAATATTTATCTTACTTGAAAAAGTGTAGAGAAGAAATAATGAATACCTGAGCATTAGCCTCAGAAGCAGATCCACCACCAGATGAATCTGAACTTGCTTTCTTGTACCTCTCAATTGAACCTTTGACGCTGTAATAACAGTAGGATTATTTACAATTTATATTCATTGTGTAATTGGAATGCTAAGTGGCATGACAATACAACGATATCTAATAAAGAACATTACATAAGGACAACAAATCATTTATTTTAGCTAATAATTCTTCAAGAGTACGACCTTTCTTATGAAGAATTAATAAACTTTTATACACATTCACAAATTATTCTGTTACAAGAACCCAAAAATCACCATAAAGAACATGAGACTGACAACCAAATTTCCGGTAGCATAGTCCAGTGACATAATTTTTTTTGGAAAATATCATCTACAGGAAACAAATTAAAAGGAATAGGAATGAAAATCTAAGAGGTAGATAGATAGAACAGTAATTGGCCTACATAATATAATTTTCAAAACTAATATATTGCAATCATCCAAATTCCAAACAAGGATATTACACGGGAACATAACTAAAATATTTCTTTTTAAGTTAAATAGAGCTTTAGATTCTTTTACCCTTTCATATGATATGACTAGCCCCGGGTTTCCTACCTTCTTTCCTTAACTCTATGAAGGCTAAGTGATTTAGAAATCTGAAAAAATATCTTTAAATGGCCTGAAGAGAAGGGGGAAATTGACACATTAACTATATTTATCTCTTGATTTGATATTGTTACATAAATACATTACCAGGGCTTGAGTGTATAACACGATACAGTATAAATAATTAACATTAAAAGAGTAGTTAATTCCAAAAATTCAGAATTATTAATTACTTTGAATTCTATAAATGCAAACAGCTAATTTTAATGTCAGTATGATCATTTTAACATTAGAGTGTATTTGTGATAGGTGTAATAATTAAATTATTCAACAATCAATTATTGATTATTGCCATAAAAATAAATTTGCTAAAAATTGATTATAACAATAATTAATCATAATTAAAATATATTTTTGATTAAGTAAATTTATTGAAAAGTTATTTTAAGATAATTAATTTGATTTGGATAAAAAAAAACTTTTATATAACAAATTACAAAAATATAGGGTATGTCTTGTACCCAAAAAAAATCATCCATGTACCAAAAAAATATAGGGTATGTAGTGAAGTAATGTTGTGGATGATTCGGGGATGTACAATTCTATAAGAGAAATAAGTGGTTCGAAAATAAACAACCCTTCAAATTTAAGATGCTGTGAAATAACTCTTTTTTGTTTTAATAACCTTTTTTTAAATTTCAATAGTATTTTCTAACAAGAAGCTTATTTCATAAAAAAAAATTTCTCATAAACACAGCTTAAGTTTAGAAAGGAAAAAAAGTTACTTTTCCAGACACTTCCTCTGAAGTACAGTTCACCCTTTAGAACATCTTTATCAGAAAATTTCAATTTAACTCAGATTCTTGGTTTTTGCAACAGAAAAGGAGGAAGGAATCATGCGTTCGATTAATTTAAGATTAACCATAGAGTTGGCCCAAGGTTGATGGTCGTCAAATCATCCAACTGGTTCAGTTAACCGAACCTCAAACGCAACGATCTTCACGAAAAGCAAACATCACATTATCTCAATCATCTCATTACTCATAATACTCCACGTCAATGTCTGATTGGATGTGATAAAAATAAAATCTTAAAATACCAAAATGACTCTGTTATAATGAGATTAAAAAAAATTCAGTTTTCACTATTGCACTCAACTGATACCTTAATATCCTCGAGCCACTGATTGGCTGCCGCTGCCACGGTGGCACGTGTTCCAACAATATGATTGGTTCAACCATTTGTAGACCTATTTTTTTCGTATGCCACGTAGGAGAAACCCATGTCACAGTGGATAATACTCTCAACCACATCTCATTGCCAACCTCGATTCTAACAATATAAATTTGGTGCAAGTTTTTAAGTAATATATTCAATATAATATAAATTTCGTTTTTTTTATATGAAAATAGACGTTAAAGATTAATTTGTACTAAATTTAATTAATTAAATATTATTTTAAATAAATAAAAATTGAATTGAAGAGTGTTATTAGATCGACTCTTCATATTTTAGGAAAGATATTACAATTTCAATTACTAGACTAGAAAAATTAGTTTAGCATGATATCATATGATTTTTATTTTCCTTCTTTACATGAAATGTATATATTAGTGTTAAAATAATGTTTAATTATTTAAATATTTGATTATTCATTTTGAGATAGTACTTGAAACCTTAAGAATAAATCTTTTCGATTCCTGCACAAAAGTATTGTAAGAAAATAGTACTTTAATCGGTTACATATAGATGTTAAAATAATATTTAATTAATAAATCTTTAATTATTTAGTTTAAGTTTTTAGTATATAAGTAATGATTCACTTATTTTAAGAGAAAGTTTTTATAAACTTATCATTTATATTGAATTTTTTATAATTTAATTATTAAATTAAAAAATTTTAATACATAAATTAAGTTAAATTTTTAAAAAAGTTTAAAAATTATTTGATACTTCGATCTAATAATTTAAATTGATGAATAATCATAAAAATATTTTAATTGTTAATTTGAATTAATTAAATGAAATATTATATAATTTTCAAAAATTTAAAAAAAAATTAGATTAAATTTATATATTAAAAATTTTAAACGATGAAAATTTACCAAAAATGATGTGTGTACATCACAGCCTCAATTGAGCTACCGCAATATTACCAGCAAGCAGGAGCAGGAGTTGTACATGGAAGAAGCCAAAAGGCTCAGAACACTCTCATTGGCTCTCTCAAATTGTCGTACGTTGTCTCTGCCCCCCATTTACCTCACTTACACACTCTCTCTCTCACATTGAGCCTAGAAAACCCTTCTCTTTCTTTTTCTTTTTGTTTCTCAGTCTACAACTTTCATAAATATGTTAAGTGCAAGATCTTGAGCAAATGCAAGGGCTCCAACTGCTACCAGTGATGTTATGATAAGCCAGTTTGGACCCTCATGCTTCATCACTCTCTTTCATTGTCTTTTGCTGTTTCCAACCCATGTAAAAGAATTTTTTACTCTATGCTATTGCTGAATTGAGAGTTTCCTAGAGGAGGGATGTTGCAGAAGGTCCAACACTCCAACTTTAGGGTTCAGATGCAAGAGTTATAGAGATACCAATTCCAACTTCCAAGTATGACTTGGTTAAACTATTTTGTCAAAAGTCAAGAACCGAAAAATCACGTGTGACGTGTCCAAAGATTCTTTCACCCAAGACAAACAAATCCTACTCTAGCAAGTAGTGGAAACTGGAAACTCCTTATTCCTTAAAGCCCTAACCATAGTTACCAAACTCCATTTCCTAAAACAGGGAAAATCAACTGGCAATAAATTTTATGAGAGATTAACTTTTACTATTTTAAAGTTTTTGTTATGCAGAGATGAGAAAACTGTTTCATTCTTAATTTCTTTTCTCCCCCCTTGCTTAGTTATTGCTCAACATGTATTACTCCCTAACAAAACCCTAATTTCTAGGGTTATTTTTAACCCAGCTGAGATCTTGCAAGTGGGTGCCAAATTTCCCTAACAATAGTCATTTTTTTTAACTCTATTATTTGTTCCGGATTAAGTAGTCATTGACAACTTGTTGAAACTTTATTGTGATTTTTTCTTTTTTCTAACTAACTGGCTTGATATTAAGGAAGTGTGAACGTGTTAGGATTGAGTTAGAGGATTGGGCTAATGGAAAGAAATTAAACATGACAGCTTTTGCTTTTAGATGGGTTAAGAAAGAGAGAAGAGGGGAGTGATAGAAGGGGAATGGGGAAAAAAGGAAACAGAAAGTTGAAGAAGGGGTTTTAGGGATTGGCTGATCTCACAGACCTTCAACATCCCCAAATCCTTTCCTCTTGCTACTAGTTAACAACCATAGTGCTTCTATATCTATCTGCTACACCAGATCTATGTGCCCACCAAACCAAGAACTAATTGTCATATAACAGAAAGAGAAAGGGGAGGAGAATGGGCATAAAAGCTCATAGAAGGAAAAAGGCCAAAATAGAAGAAACACAGAAAAGTGAATCTTGGTTGCAGAAAACATATATACAAAGAAAAGGAGGAAAAATTAACTCTTTCCTAACTGCATCACAATAATTATTAGGTTCTTTGAGCTGAACTCCTTCAAAAGGTTTATTTGCACCAGAAAAATTATAAATTCAAAACATTTCTAACATGGCAAAAACTCAAAAACAAAGAGGAAAAAAAATGATAGAAAAATTGGTAAGAACAAGAACACACAAAGCTTGAAATAATACCCCAAAATTTTATGAAGAGAAGAAAAGCAGGTACCTGTTATTAGCATATTCATAGAGTCTGCCACGGCTTGAAAAGACTATTAGAGCAACCTCTGCATCACAAAGCACAGATAACTCATATGCCTTCTTGAGCAAGCCATTTCTGCGCTTGCAGAAGGTAACTTGACGATTGGTGGTGTTCTCAATCCTCTTGATCTCAATCTTCCCCCTTCCCATCTTTCTCTGGGGAGAAACTGATGACATGGATTGGTTTGGAAAAGCCATGCTTGCTAGCTGAATCGAGTAAAAGATCATCATTTTATTCTCCTCATACACACACACACACACACCTCAAAAAGCAAAGACTATAGACAAAAACATCAGTAAATTTTGATCTTTCAGCTAATTTTTTGTGTGGTTGGGAAGAACTTGGAAAAGAAAGAACAACAAATGGAATCTTAGACAGCCTCTTCACCCCTCAAGACACCTAAACCCAACATTTAAATCACTAGATATATATACATATTTAGCTTCAAAGTTTCCTTTGGCTTGTAATAGTTTTATAATCTAGTTGTGTTGCCAAATCTTGGTTTCAAGCGAAAAGTTTGAGTTTGATTGACCCCAAAAAGAGGTGAACCGTTGAGAAGGGATTTTCAATGATGTTTCAGTATTTTGCTCACTAACCTGGTGAAGAAGTTATATTAAGGGCAATAGAGCAGGTTCAAGTCCTTAGCAGAATGTGTATATGATTTTTCTCCTTTTTTCCACTTAGCAGAACAGGCAGAAGATATCAGAAAATGAAAGCAAAGTGGCCAAAGATGGGTGTATATATAAAGTTAAAAACTACCTATCTTCCACAATGGTTTATGGATATGAAACAAAACGAGTGTATACACACACACACATCTGCATCTGTATATATTTTATTCACTTTTTTTTTAGTCTTTTTTTTTTTTTTCTTTCCTCTACCTCCTGGTTGTTGAATGGCATGTGGGTGAATCAAATTAATTAAACTTCCTTAAAAATTTACTTTTTTTTTTTCTTTTGAAAAAATTCATAGCAGTGAGGGAGTAGGCATGAGAGAGAGAGAGAGAGATCTGGAAACGATTATTAATGGGGTGAAAGGGACGTAGAGCGAAGTTGCTAGTGATATTCCATGATATGATTCAGTGGAACCTCTTTTCTCCTTGTGTGAGGTTTTTCATGGAGACTTTTTGATACTGTAAAAAATTGTAAATAAAGGTGAAGGATGCGGCCACAATTACAGTGGAATATGGTCATGTAGAATCCGAAATTCTTGATGTCGCAACCTAATTGTTACAGACCATTTCTTAAAAAAATCTTAACTATGTCTATAGTTGATGAAATGAGTATCTTGTGTATAGCATTGGTTTTTCTTAAAATCCAGTTTAAAATTTCAAAATATTATATAAAGTAAAAGATAACATATTGAATGTGTTCAATAAAAAAAATAAAGAAACTAATCTCTGTACGTGTAAAACATAAAACTATTATTAAAAAGAATACAGAAGGTATATATAAATATATATATTATATATATATATATATGCACTGTGTTATTTTGATATACAATTAGATTGTTGTTAATTGAAATTCAAGCTCTATGCATTGTTAATTGATATTCAGTCTTAATTTAAGAAGTAAAAGCCCAACAGATATTAGATAATTGGTTGTTTAAACATGTTGTTAGATGTTGAATTATTGATTATGTATGCGGAGAAAATTTTCTTAAAAGAAACAACTTAATTCAATGATCTCTACATTTCAAAAATAAAAAATAGTATTTGATTGTTGGTGGGAGGATATATTTGTTTTGTTTTAAAAAAATATAAAAAAAAATACAATGTTAAGCTTTTAATGAATTTCAATAATTCAACAGAAAATAGTATTTGGCTTCTGGTTCACAATTTTTTTTAATTAAAGTTGTGGTTTTTATTTTATTTAATATGTGTGATAACATGAGTAAAAATATTAGTTACTTAAAGATTATATAATTAGATTAATTGGTGTCAAATTATTCCAACTTAATAAATATTATTAACTTAAATGGTTCAACATTTATATTCTTTACCTAAAGATCAATATTTGATCATTGATTTAGATATAAAATTACAACTAAAAGTATCACTTTATGATTATAGAGATTAATTCAATGAAAAAATATGATCTCTTTATTAAAAAAATTGAATTCGGATCTTTAATAAATTGAATATTTAGAAAAGAGTTTTACCACTTATTGAGTAAAAATAACTATCTCTAATAAATGATGTTTGTAATTCCTACATATAAAAATATAGTAAAGTTGCAATAAAAAATATGTTACACCAAGTTGCAATAATTTTTAAAAATAGAAATATTAGTAATGCTTTTTTGTAAACAGTAACGTAAGAAATACGCAAGCCACTATGTAAATGTAGTAAAAGTTACGGGCGGAGATGTAGTTTTCATTTGACAAATGAATTGGTTGCGCTTTTTTTTTTTTTTTTTGTTGGTTCGTCCCTTTTAAAACTTTGTTATTTTTATTGTATTTTTTTTTATTTTTATTAATTGTATAATTACCTTTTATTTTTATTTTTAAGAATTTGCATAAGAAATAATTATATGAACTTTTTTAAAAACACGGATATGAAAAGAAGGTGCATTTTTATTATTAGAAATAGAAAAGGAGTTATTGAAACAAAATACGCGTGTTACTGTTCCAAGTAAAAAAATTCCTTTAAGTTGACATATTTAATGCATCATGTTCTTAATTTTCCATTTTGGGTATGATACATACAAATGCGTCAAACAATTCTCATTCTTCCGAGTATTGTGTTAACTTTTCTAACAAACTGACAATCATAAACAACGCGATTTTATTCTTTTTGAAGGTTCTATCTTACTCTAATATTTACAATATGTACCACTATTAAGGTCCTTAATTAATATTGGAATTGTATTATAACTATAGTGTGGGACATCTTTCGTCATTGACAGGGCAGTGACCCAAAAGTTGAAGGTGACTGCTATGTGACAACCTCATCTTCACCATCCATCCTTCATCCTTTTGCTGCTGCTACCTTCTTTGCTGACATCCAAGCTAGGTCACCCTTCTTTATTTTACTCATTATTATATGAATTCCCTGTGTAAAATCATATTTTACTTTTCTATTTTTAGCTTACCCTCATCAAATTTATTACTCACTATCAAAATTAGTATTCATATGTATTCTTAGAAATATTTTCTTTCCCATAAACAAATATAGATAGGTTTTTCCTTATATGCTTAAAATTGGATTAAATTTTTACTTTTGAAAATAAAAAATGTTATTAAAACAATTTTTTATCAAATATATAAAAAAAATTGTACTTATCATATCAGTTGACATCAATTAAATAGCTATGTGAGTATTTATGGTTGGATAACCATTATTTATTAACACACATTATCACTTAATAAATAAGAGTGAACTCCTTAAACTAATCTTGTGACAGAAAATTAATAAAAAACTAAAAATTGATAATTTTTTAAAAGAATTAAAAAATAAATTCTTAAAAAGCTGAGAGATTAAAAATTTATTTAATTCTTTAAAATTTTACAACATTGCTTTTAAATTCTAAAGTTAATTAAACATTACTTATTTTCAAGAATGTATATATTCATTTAATATAAACAAATATAGATTATTTTTTATGTCGAACATTAATCGTAATTTAGATGCGTTTCTTTTAGTATCTATGTACCAATATGTAATGAAATGGAGAACAATTTTATGCTAACTTTATCTTTTTTATATATAAATTTTTCTTAAACACTTTTAAAATAAAGTTAATTTAAACTTTTAGCTATTTTTTAATTTTAAATCCACAAATTTAATATGTTATTTTAATTATGTAATTTTGGTCCAACTGTAAAATGTAAATGTTTAAATTTAGAAAAAATGTATATATATGAAAAGTGAGAGTGCAATGATATTTTATTAGGGATGATAAAACAAGCTAGTTTAATCTATTTAGATTTAACTATTGTTGACCGTAAAAAATGAGAGTCAGGTCAAGTTGGTCTGTCAAATAAAAATGGGTCGAAGATCTAGGCTCGTCTCGCCTAGGGATAGGTTGGCATGTCAGCAAGCCAGTCTATCAAATAACTAAATAAATAAAAGGGGGAAAAGGGAGAAAATGAAAAAAAAATTACATATTTATTTTGAGTTAATCTTCCAATATTTTTTTCTCAATATCTAAAGGATCAACATAAATCAAGGTTCCTAAATAATGAAAAAAAATCAAATTACAACTAATTTGATTTGATTTATAATCACTAGGGTCAACCTAGTAGTAGGATGGGGAGGAAATGAGATAGTTAGAAGCATAAGGATATAGGTTCAATCCTCGTTACGACCATCTTTATAATTTTTCCTATCTTTACAAAAAAAATGATTTGATTTGTTGCACAACAAATCTTATTACATATAATAAAATAAATCAAATATATAAAATTTATTGAACAAGTTAGGTGGGATGGAGAGATGAACTAATAGACTAGAATAATTAACTTGACCTGCCAATTTTTGACGAATTAGTGATCTCGTTTACGATTTGTGATTGTTGCATACTCATGTGACATAATAAGTATTCCTTAAATATTATGCTTCAATGTTTGCATTACATGTGTGCAAATTTAAGAAAGCAATAAAATTGTAGAGTTTTTAAAATTGAAGAAATAAAATTACATAATTTAAAAAAAATCAAGAATTATAATTATTGAGTTAAATAATAAATAAAGAATAAAATTACAATTTATCCTAATAATAACAAGAAGGTAAAATTTAGTTATATACAAACTAATTTATAAATAATTTAATTTCTAAAAAAAAATTTAACCTATTATTTTATTCTTTTATAAGTAATTATAGACAAATAATCATAATCCTAATAAATCTTGAAGTGTACCTGCGCGTTCGAAAAAAATGTTGACTTGAATGTAATCCATTTTTTTTTTTTAATTTATAGATATAGTTTTATGACTTCTCAACGTGAATTTAAACAAACACAAAGTATATTAGGATTGTAGTGAATCTTTATTGAATGAAAAAATAGTGTGGTAAAATGAAGTGATATGACAAATGGAGTCATTTCTAAGAACAGTTGATTTGACCCTTGCTACTTGATTTAATTCATTTTTGGTGCATAGTTATTCGATGGTGGGTTATCCGAACCAAAGTTTACCATCCACGCCCCCTAACTACGCATGCAATGCAACTCCCACATATGATATTTGACTTGATTGGACATGGCAAGTGAAATTGTGTAGTGGCTACAGTTTGGTCTATTCATCACTCATTAGTTGTGGCATGGGACCAGGGATGGCAACGGGCGGAGCAGGTACGGGTTTCATGATATCCGTCTTCGTTTCTGCGAGTTAAACTCATCCCTGTTCCCGTACTCGTATTCGTCGGATATGTAATTTTCATCTTCATCCCCGTTTCTGTCAGGTATCGGGTATACTCGTACCCGTACCCGTATCCGTCAAAAATTTTATTTTTTATTTTTTTAAAATAATATTTTTAAATTACTTTTTTAATTATATTATAATTATAATTAGGTTATTTCTCTATCTTATATTATAATAAATAATCACACATAAAAAA